AATGTCATTCCTGACCTTTTTTTATGTGAAACTTGTAAGTGCTAGTGCAAACAGTAACTTTTGTCAGCCACAGAAGCCATCTGAATGTTTATAATTAAGGAGTCTCATGCATTATACTAATGTCACCCAAAAACAAATTTGTTTCTGGTGATTCAGTTTAAAAGATAACACTCACGACTATTTTACTGCCAAAATAGTGTAAGCATGTAATAAAAAACAGCCAAAAATAAACCAATACAAAATTGGAAACAGAAAGATTGCAGTAATTAACTGGGGGAGAGGGGATGCTAAAAACACTGACCACTCAATAAGGAATATGTCATATTACAGAAAAAAACAGACCGATCACATATGACCATACTTTCAGGGAACTAAACATATTAAAACTCTTTTCAACATTGCATCTTCAAATACCTGATATTTACATACATAATGGCAGCATTAAATTCACTGTAAACATGATTAATAGTCTCTGTACTTTGTAAGTAGTTTGTTTGCTTCTTCATGTGCTAATTCCTCCTAAAATAAAAACAAACAAGGAATTCACAATTTAAAAATTTAGAAGATTTTTTTGGGTGAATGTATTGGAAACACATTCAAATTAATTCAAAATTTAAGATTAGCCTTTCTTCACAGTACTCTTCAAATCTATAATAAAGGACATTTTCAAGACGGTAAGCAAGTTAACAGAAATTCTTACACTTATGAAAAGATTAAGGTGAATCAGTTTCCAAACAGTGAGCAACTAATATTTTCAATTGACATTCCTACTGAATTACTCTGGGAATAAAGTTGATTACCTCTGTGTTTTCATATGGCATTTCCAAACACTTTTCCAGCCATGTTCTTGCATAGACATAGGAAGCTTTCTGAATGTAACACTGTCAAGGAGAAAACATACAGTACTAGTAATTGCTTCATTTATGCATACAATGTAATATGTAGTATAGAGTTACCTATGCTAAAAAAAATAACATTCAAATCACATGGCACAACATTTAATAAAGTAATATATTGAGTTCAGTCATAACAACAAATAATTCACATGAGTGGATGAAGATTATAGCTACGTTTATATTACAAGATCTCAGAATGTGCTGAAATTTTAAATCTTTCATGTTTACATAGGGATTACATCAGTTGCGTTCATGTTAGTAGGGACTACCAAAGACCCATGCCCTCATTCGTCTTTTGACCCAAACTTGGCAGACATACATGTGTCTGCACAGTTAACCGTGATGATATTTGAAGATATTTGTGGTCATGGTATTTGTTATGAGTCACTGTGCACATGAAAGGATTCAAAGAACAGTTTTTTTTTTCACGTAAATGTAGCATTGCAGAAAGAAGCCGTTGCAGTAGCATATAAATATGCATCACAGACAACGTTCTGTATTAATTTTATTCATTACTCCCACTAGAGGGATTGTGATCCAACCACATCTTTCTTTCAAAGCTAGCCACATTTCTCTTTACTGCCATGTCATATGAATTTGTATATGAATCAGTAAATTCATCACTGAGGGCATGATTTCAGCTAAGATGTGTAGCAAATCTCTATCGATCGAGATAAAGTTTTTTTTCAGCACGTGCTGACTCAGTCCTGACTCTTGGCAAGTGTAACAACTCAATAATAAGGTTATCACAATCAATAGACCAAATATCAAAATTACCACTCAATTCATAAAAAGAACCAGAACTGCCAAATTTTGGACCCAAATTTATTCACTTGACCTAATAGCTGTTTTGTATTCATTGCATGTCGTCTGGGTTAAAAAACAGACAATATAAACCTTATCTGAGCTTCTATCTCACTAATTTGATATGCTTACTGTACAGTTAATTTCCATACTATAATTGATTAAGGGTTACTTACCCTTGCAATAAATAGAGTATTGGTTTTCCAGAAACCAGGCTGTAAACTCTCAGCTTTAAGAAAATGCTCTAACGCTTCATCCACTGTAGCTGATGGTGGAGTGGCATACAGTGCTGAAGCAGCCTTTCTCTCCAACCAACTTAGTTGTGCAACCTGGTAAAATAATATACTGTACATTAACATTTCACTTACTTGAATCACAATGTAAGCTAGTAAGTTAGAATCAATGTACTTCATAACTTGTGTCGCACGAGGCCAATATTCTACACTAACTCCAGTTTTATTGTTATATAATTGGACTTACAACTGATTTTAATTGTACAATCTTTGAACTGTGAATTGTGTAACTGAATGATTTTGTTTAGTTAACCGTATTTAGAATATGCCTGGTTAAAAGTTAAGCACTGCTATTTATTCTTACAGGATACTCACTTTCAGCATTTCAATAATCCAAAGTTATAGATTTGTGCTAAATTTGAACAACCTCTTGAGAAACACCTCACTGACAAGTTTTACCATGAATTTAAACATTGAAAAACTTTAACAAAATAGATATTGTGGCTTTCTAGGCTCATATAGTCATTCCCAACCAAAAAGTCACAGACACAGCCCCTATTACATGCTATGCTCAATACAATATTTTGTTTTAGCAATGTTCTCTCTGACTGAATGAAAAATTCTAAATGATAAGAAACAATCAATAAATTCACACAAATTAGAGTCTGGGTAATTAAATATAGGTTGCAGTATACACAAA